CTCGAACCGCCGAAGCGTCAGCCATTTCTGGCCGGCAACTTTCGGCGTCATTAAGCCGCTGAAGCGCTGGCTTGCTGGCCGCCAAACTAACCTAACCCACTCGGCTTCTGCACTGGCTTTGCTCGCAGCCCTGATCTTCGGCCCCCTTCATTACCCATTGCAAGCAGTTTCTAAGGTGGATTTCCTCAACATGCTATGTATCTGGACCACCCTGCGGCCTTTAGAAGGGTTGGCTTTCATCGTGCTGATGCCTCAGCTTTTTCTTCCCGTAAGAAGAGGCCTGGGATCGCCCCTCCCTTCTCTGGGCAACAGAAACGTCCGGGGGGACATTAAAGTTTGAAGTGATTCAAGCCGGTTTGCCTGGCTGCCACGGGGTAAATCCAAGGATCCTTCTGGTCAAGCCCCTGAGCGTGATGCTGCAGGCAGCGCCCTGCCCCCCAGTCCACTCTCTGGACAGAGGAGGACTCTGTTCTTAAACCGAAGCAGCGAGTTAGTTCCACAGAAGTCAGAATGCAGGACTAATTCTTTATCTTCATCCCTCTTAGAAATGCAAAAATGGGACACCCTGATCCAAAGCGTTTCAAAGGTAAATCTGGAAGGAATCCCTCACGACTAGACAAACATGGCAAAAGGAGCAAATCGGCAAGTGCAGGGTTATCTGCGACACTCTTGGACAGGGTTAAGTCAAATTACAGGATTGCAGCTAGCAGGAGGTCAGGAGAGAAATACAGCACAGCCAGTCTTCACAGCAAAATTTTACCAGTGACTTCAGCCTAAACTGTTCCTCCCCCCCAACCAACAGGGACAAGCACGGAAACCGCCCTCCGGTACAAATGGCTCCAACACCCCAGGGGAAAACGCGCGGTCTTCTCTGCGGCTGAAGCGTCAGCAGGAGCAATGTGCCAGCTGGCGTGCCTCCCTCTTCTCCCCAGGGAGACAACCACCCCCAAGGCAGCTTTGATGCCCTGGTGTTCCGGCCTTAAGGCCGAGGCAGCCACTCCAAGCCAGAGCCTCCCGTGACCCTGCCAGGGCAAAGCCGCAGGGACGGCTTTCCAGGCAGGAGCAGCACTGCCGGCTCGTCTTCCTGAGGGATCGGGCTGACGGGGCAAGGGCAGGACAGCGAGGTCCCCAGCCTGCAGACTCCAGTAGCCAAAAAGGAAAATCCAGCCGAGGGTTGGGGTGGCTGGACAGAAAGCCAGGGCAGGCTTCGAACTGCACCAACCTACCTCTGTGGGGAAGTCTGACTACCCCCCCCCCCCCCCCC